TTTTTTTTCTTTTCTTCTCTTACTATTGTAACTGCTCCATATAGTTTTAGAAAGACTTTGCTATAAGATCCCCTGATTATAAGCAGATTTGTGGTTTCTCTGTAATACCTCCTATTCTCAAAGTTATGAGTTATGAGATTATTTGAACAAAATTAAAATCCCTGAACAGTGGAGAAATAATAAGGAAAAGAAGAGAATAAGTAAAGATGGCTACCAGAAAGGACCAAAAAGAAAGAAAGTTTCAAAAATTTTAATGACTCTACATAGAAATCAAAATTAGATAAAAGATATGATCTGGATCAGAAAAAAAGAACAAAAATTAACCTCTATTTTTTCCACAAACTTAAAAAAATATAAAGAAAATTGAAAATACACATGTAGGCTCTCGAATTTCATTAGGAGGTTCTACGGAGAGAGTGAGAAGACACTTAAGTCCTTCAATACTAGAAATACAATATGTCAATCAAAGCCATCTAGTCAGGAAAGGCTGGGATCCTACCTACATGTAGAGTGTAATAGAAAAATAACGTTTACCAGACCTTAGAATGGCCGGGTTGGTGTCACAAGGACAGAGAATAAACAGGTACAAGCTAAGGTCAGAGGAGCCAGAAATTAAGAACAACAAGGGTACACAAGACGAGTCAAAGGGTAATAGATAGAAGGGTAGTCAAACAAGCCAAAGTCAATACCAAGAATACAATACTAAAGTACAACACGCTATTGGGACTAATAGAACCACAACAGGACAATGAGTCATGTTCATAAGTTCCCTTTTATACTGTGTTTTTATCACCTTAGGAGGATGTTTGAACAGGTCCCCGGCCTCCTGTAAGAAGACTTTAGTGTGTGGCACAGCCTGTGCCCACACAAAAGGTACCCTGACAGTACCCCCCACTCCCACAACAGCTCACCGGGCAGGGGGGACGAGGACAGGAAGGAAACTTGGAATGGAAGGAGCGAAGAAGACGGGGGGATTGATATCCGAACTGTCAACCAAGACCTGTCTTCGAACTGAAGTTTACCCCTTGACACTCTGGAATCAAGGAGAGAATGGATAACATACTCCTCTTGATCTTCCACTTTAACAGAAGGAGGAGGATCAACCCGACTGGTGTATCTATTACAAATCAAAGGTTTCAACAAGGACACATGGAAAACACTGGGGATGCGTAAAGAGAGAGGCAAAGCGAGACGATAAGCCACTGGATTAACACGCCTGAGCACTGTGTAAGGACCAATAAACCTAGGAGCAAACTTCATTGATGCACCTTTCAGACGAATATGCTTAGTACTGAGCCAGACTTTATTACCCAGAGAAAATACAGGGACGGCAAGCCAACGTTTATCGGCATATTTCTTATTAAGAGAGGTTTTATGAATCAGGAGCAGTTGAGCATGTTCCCATGTCTTCAGGTTATGCGTATGTTTGTCAACCATCGGCATTCCTTGCGAAGGGAAATCTAGATGGAAGAAAAACAGGATGAAAACCGACATTCATGAAGAAATGGCTTTGTTGAGTGGCATCAGAAACCATGTTGTTCAATGCAAACTCATTGAAGCAAGCCAACCCAATCATCCGGATGAGCGGACACAAAACATCTCAAATAATGCTCAATTTTTTGATTAGTCCTTTCTGCTGCCCCGCTGGATTATGGATGAGATGCTAACGAGAAATTAAGAGTAATCCTCATCTGTGAACAAAAGGCCCTCCAGAATCAGGATATGAATTGGGACCCTCTGTCAGAGATCATTTCTTTAGATTTACCATGAATACGAAATATCTCTTTGGCGAATATAGCAGCTAATTCAGGTGAAGAGGATAATTTAGGTAAAGAGATGAAAAGTTCCATTTTGGTAAACCTATCCACTACAGTCAAGATTACGGTTTTCTTTTTAGATCTGGGTAAATCGACAATGGAGTCAATACCAATACTAACCCATGGTTTGTTGGGTACTGCAAGTGGTTGAAGTAGACCACAAGGAATGGTATGGGAAAGTTTGGTTGTTGCACATACAAGGCAAGCCAACACATAGTCTCTAATATCCTTTTGTAAAGATGGCCACCAAAACGCCTTTGCAATTAGTAAGTTTTGCATATACCTGGATGACCTGCTATCTTGCAGTCATGATGATAAACGAGTATATCCCTCTAGAGTTTAGGAGGGACATACAATTTTCCATCGGGGGCTTGCTTAGCTATGATATCTGAAACAAGAGGAGACTGGATACTGGTTCTGGTGTTGACCATAATGCGTTGTTGAGTTACAATTTTATTCCACTCAAAAAAATTGCAGTCTTCACAAGATATGATTCTTATATTTATATGCGACATTGTCATACTACATGGTATTCCTCAAAATATTGTGTCTGACAGGGGTTCTCCGTTTGTGTCTCGATTTTGGAGAGCTTTTAGTAAACAGCTGGGGTATTGAATTGTCATTCTCTTCTTCTTACCATCCCCAAACCAATGGTACAGCTGAGAGGGCTAATCAATCATTGGAACTGTATTAACGTTATTTTGTGTATAGCACACTGGATAATTGGTCTGAATTGCTGCCCTGGGCAGAGTTTGCCAGGAACAATGCTACCCATGACTCATCCGTACATAGTCCATTTTTTGTCAATAACGGTCGTCATCCTACTGTTCTACCGGCTGTATTCTCTGACACTGCTATCCCTGCTCTGGATGATCACCTTACTTCTATTCGTGAGACTTGGTCCAAAGTTCAGTCCGCTCTCAAGACTGCCCCTGCTTGTTTCAAATTTCATGCTGATAAACGGCAGGGTGCCAACCCTGTTTACCAGGTGGGTGAGTGGGTGTGGTTATCACCGCGCAACATCAAACTAAAAGTTTATAGCATGAAGTTTGCCCCCAGATTTCTTGGTCTATTTTGTGTTGTTCGGAGAATTAACCCTGTTTCCTATTCTCTGGCGCTCCCCGCCTCCTTGTGTATTTCTAATTAATTTCATGTTTCCTTACTCGAACCACTTATTTGCAATAGGTTTACTGTTGCACTAGGTTTATTGTTCCTCCTCCTTTGATCGATTCTGGACAGGAGGAGTACGAAGTCTCCTCCATAATTGATTCCAGGTTTTCTTGTGGTTCTTATTTAGTCAGTTGAAGGGCATATGGGCCTGCCAATCGTTCTTGGGTTCCGGCTTCCGACATACATGCTGGCAGCAAAATTTGTTCTTTTAACACCAAGTTTCCTCTCAAACCTGGTCCTGCCCACCCACTTGAAGTGGGGGATACTGTCACAGTGCCTCGGGTTTCTGTCGGCGTGGCTCCACAGAAACACAGAGGTCACACCGACAGAAATAAATACTTAACTTACCCGCAGCAGATCAAAGCCCGACCTCCTTCCATCCCCGTCCCCAGCGTGCTGCGTTACTAAAAGATGCTGGCCTCTGCGGTTCCGTTTTTAGTAGGGAAATAGTCTTTGCCCATATCAAAGATGGCACTTACATGCGTGCAACGTCACGTCATAGACGTACACGCACGTTTTCGAGTCAGATTACATTTTGATCAGTGTCGTGGTTTCCCTTAGCTGGTTATCTGAGAGAATTGTAGTATTTCTGGTATTTGACTTTTGGCTTTTCCTCATCGTTGTGTCTCATTCTGTATCCCTGACCTAAGCAAGTATTTTGATTATTCTTGGATACGTTAAGCCCGGCCATTCTGGGGCTGTCAGTAATCCTGACAGCCCCAAGCAAGTACACCCACACCCCTCCAAATCACTGGATATATGCCTTGTGGATTATCAAGTCTTGCCCAGGAGTGGAGTTCAGGCATACCTATAGAAATAATAAGTGACCACCTCCTTTGTTCCAGACCAACGTCAATGCAAAAGGAAACATTTGGCTTTATCTTCTCTTATGTACTTGCCACAGAAATAATAACTGCATCTATGAATCCCATTGGGATAGTCACAGGGAAATCCCTCAAGCAGAGACTCATCATAGATCGGTCAGCCCCTATAGATCATGCCATCACATAGGCAGAGATCGGAGCTTGGCTAAGACAGACAGACATTACAAATGCCTTTAAACTACTACCTATCCAACCTACACTCTGGCACTTACATGGCATCAAATGGGCAGATTCTTCTGCTTAACTTTTGGGTCAAAAAGTAGCCCCCAAATCTTCGACACTTTTGCAGAATCACTTTGCTGGTTGTTACTTAACATTTCCAGATGCCCCATAGTCATCCATTATCTGGATGATTTCTTGCTGATCGAAGAGAACTCGTTTCCCCCCAGAAGTCTCAAAGAAATCATTAGTCTGTTTGACCACCTGAGAGTCCCAGTATCCCCTAAGAAAACCGAAGGTCCAGACACAATCATTACATTTCTCGGTATACAACTAGACTCTGCCTCTATACAAGCTAGTTTACCACAAGAAAAAATTACAAACATCCTCAACCATTACATCTTGCTGGGTAATTGCAACCGCAAGGATCTTCAATCTCTCATAGGTTCCTTGAACTTTCCCATGCGCATCATCCCTCAATGGCGTGCTTTCATATCTAGACTTCTCTGTCTTTTTCCACATTTCCAACACGACAACTATTACCCACCTGGGGGGGGGAGGGATAACCCGTGGAGGCAGAATGAGGCCTCGGGGGCAAGATAAACGTAAAGAGTAAAACAACAATACCTGATACAATAGACAGGATACCAGGTTGAAACTCCCCAAAGTCTACTTGATGAATAGCGAGGAGCCTAAAATGGTGAGGTTTTTTCTTGTACCGTACAAGAAAAATTGCTGAGATATCATGAGTGACCGGTCAGACCTTCGGCCAGTAATTGCAATTGTATCTGAACCATGGTGGTTAATTTAGGAGAATGATGAAAGAGGTGTACGTGTTTAATATTTTCAGTTAATATGCCTATAGTCTAAACGTATTGGCCTTATGCCCAAGAAGTGAAATTATGTCAGAGCCAGTGCTGTGACCTGCTGGATTAGGATCTTAATAATGACAAATAGGAGTGGGTGACATATTGCTTGTTTTTTTACCAAAGTTAAGTGAAAGCATGCAGCAGCATACAGCCATGTGAAAAGTTTATGAATGATAACCATAGATCTGCTGCTTTAACCGAAAGACTAAGTGAATAACTAAGGGAAAAGACCCCTTATACTGTACGAATGTACATGAAGCAGTAAACGGTGAAAGACCACTAACTAGGAGATTGGATCGTTCGTATGAACGAACGGTATAGAAGGATACTAAACAGTGCAAGAGTTTAATGTGAGCTGTGCAGGCAGAGTGTTTGACTAAATTGAATGAAAAAACATGTGCACTGCATGAATACACATAAGGCAGCGGTCAGCTAGTAACCGCAAAAATGGATGAACAAAACAAAAGTATGACCAGCAGCAGTCGACTGATTAACCGCACGAACAACAGTATGCACGAATGCGTAAATATGCACGAATGGAATTAATAAATGCCTACCCCCACGTTTTTAGGCCCGAACGTGGAAAATAGCCGAATGCTATTTCCCACATGATGTTTACATGTACGTGCCGGTCTCATGAACATTAGATGGGTACCGTGACTGGGGAGAAAGCCGGGTGGAAGGACCAGAGGTCGTAGGCAGAGGACACTGCTGGAGACAGGAATTGTTTTGGCGGGAATTTCAGACCGCAAGTGCTTGTTGCTTAGGAGAGTCAGTCAGCTTGAACGGCAGAGGTGAGTAGGGGCTGAGAGTTTAAGAAGGGGCCATAACTCCTCCCACAAATTCAGGCCTAATGGCCTTTTAACACACACACACACACACATATATATATATATATAGTAGCTTGGTGCTACTTCTAAGTGCTGTTTCTAAGTGTGTAGTTGGAGATATTCTCGAGATAAACTGGAGGTAATCTGAGGTATTCAGGAGTATAAATACAAAGTTAAGATTTGTTAGACTTAAATTATTCTCCTAATTGGAATGGCAGACTTAGTTCAGTGTAATAATTGCTATGCATTTGTTTCACGTTCCACTTTTTGGAGGTTTGGTTGTTGTCTAATCTGTAGACAGTTCTCTATCTTGCGGCAGGAGATTGTATTTTTGAAATCTGAGATTTGTAAATTATCTGGTGAACAAACTCAGACTGGAACTGCTGCAAAGCCACTGCCGCAGAGACATGCTAGGAAAGGCAGATGGATTACTGTAGGATCTGGTAGACTTAGAGTTGTGGATAAAAGGCATTTTGCACAGTCTATTGCTCTTCATAATTCATTTTCTGCACTTTCAGAGTGTAATGGTGTTGTGGAGAGAGGCACTGAGGCTAGTGAGACTAGTGGTGTTGTGGAGAGAGGCACTGAGACTAGTGGTGTTGTGGAGAGAGGCACTGAGACTAGTGGTATTGTGGAGAGAGGCACTAAGACTAGTGGTATTGTGGAGAGAGGCACTGAGACTAGTGGTGTTGTGGAGAGAGGCACTGAGACTAGTGGTGTTGTGGAGACCGGCTTGGAGACTATGGTGAGGCCTAATAGAAAGCAATTGTTGTTAGGGGATTCCATTATAAGAGGTGTGGAGATGGACAATGGTGGTCTTGTGAGGTGTCTTCCCGGAGCTACTGCTCACAGAGACGTATCTGTAATATTGTTAAGCAAGCAAAGCAGGAAGGGGAATTGGATGTACTTGTCCATCTAGGGACAAATGACTTGGCTTGCAATCAGGTTTCAGAGGTTAAGGAAGTTTTTAGTGTTTTTGCCAATGATATACGGCAGGTTGCTTCCACACTGTCATCCTCTGAAGTTCTGCCTGTGCATAACACTCAGAACGACAGGAGGATGCGTATTAGGGACTTTAATTTAAGGCTTGGTGAATGGTGTCAGGAGCAAGGATTTGGCTTTATTTCTCATGGTAGCTCTGTTTGGAATGGAGATAAGCTGTACAAAAAAGATGGTTTGCATCTTTCTCAAAAGGGAACAAATGTTCTCAGTGAGCAGTTCAGAGGTTTTGCTAGGATGTATTTAAACTAGGAGGGGGGGGCAAAAGGGTGATAAAACATCAATCCAATTGTCCCCCAAAACAAGGACAGAAGGTGCCTGTAGCAAGTGTGTTAAAAAATGATAAGCTTAGAGTCATGTCTACAAATGCTCGCAGTTTAGGGAATAAGATCCATGAACTTGTGGCAATAATGGCAACTGATAGTGTAGATTTAGTCGCTGTTACTGAGACATGGTACAATGAGAAAAATGACTGGGACATAGCAATACCAGGGTACTCTTTATATAGGAAAGATAGGGAAGGCAAGAAAGGGGGAGGGTGGCCTTGTATGTGAAGGATAGCATAAAAATCTAGCCTAATAAAAGTTAGTGAGGCAAACATAGAGTCCGTTTGGGCTACATTAGAATTTGGTAATAAATCACACAGTAACTCGTGTAGGTGTGATTTATAGGCCCCCAGGACAAATTGAAAAGTTAGATAATCTACTAGTTGAGGAAAAAGCTAAAATGACAATGAAGGGGGAAGTAATCATCATGGGTGACTTTAATCTTCCTGATGTAAATTGGAAAACAAAATTAGCTACTTGTGCCAGGAGCACACATATTCTAAACTCCCTACTGGGATTGTCTCTAAAACAAGTTGTTGAGGAGCCAACTCGTAAAAAGGCCATACTAGATTTAGTGTTAACAAATGGAGATTTGGTATCAGATATTACTGTAGGTGAAAGTTTAGGATCCAGTGATCAGCAGTCAGTGTGGTTTAATATAAGAACAGTGACTGAGTCACACCACACAAAAACAAAAGTTTTAGACTTTTCTAAAAACAGACTTTTCTAAAATTAGAATATGGGTAGAGGAGTCATTATCAGACTGGAGCAATTTAAATGGAGTCCAAGAGAAATGGGATTATTTAAAAGTTGCACTATTGAAGGCAACAGAAAATTGCATTAGGCTTGTCAGTAAAAGCAAAAAATTCAAGAAACCACTGTGGTACTCCGCAGATGTGGCCAAAATAGTTAAAAACAAAAAGTTAGCATTTAGGAATTATAAAAAAAACCAGAGTGAGGAAGACAAAATGATCTATAAGATTAGGCAGAAAGAGGCTAAGCAAGTTATAAGAGCTTCCAAATCACACACAGAAGAGAAAATAGCACAGTCAGTAAAAAAGGGGGATAAAACATGTTTTAGATACATAAATGAGAAAAGAAAAGTAAAACAAGGATTAGTTAGATTAAAAACAAAAGAAGGAAGGTATGCAGAAGAGAATAAAGGTCTAGCTGACTGCCTCAATTAATATTTTTGTTCTGTATTTACAGATGAAAATGAAGGAAAGGGACCTCAGTTGAGAAAAAGAATAAATGAGTCATTTATTACACGTGAGTTTACAGAGGAAGAGGTTCTATTTCAACTGTCAAAAGTAAAGACAAATAAGTCAATGGGACCTAATGGAATACACCGCAAAGAGAAACTGCTATGTTTATGAATGGGTTAAGCCTTCCCCCATTCCCTCTAGCGGCTGTCTCACTGACAGCCGCTAGAGGCGCTTGCGTGTTCTCACTGTGATTTTCACAGTGAGAGCACGCAAGCGTCCATCGGAAAGCATTGTAAATGCTTTCCTATGCAACCGGCTGAATGCGCGCGCAGCTCCTAACCCCTTTCCCCCTTCCAGAGCCGGGCGGGAGGGGGACCCTGAGGGTGGGGGCACCCTCAGGGCACTATAGTGCCAGGAAAACGAGTATGTTTTCCTGGCATTATAGTGGTCCTTTAACAGATTTATTTAACCAATCATTGTTAACAGGAGAAGTCCCAGAAGATTGGTAGTTACCGAATGTTGTGCCCATTTACAAGAAAGGTAATAGGGAGGAGTCGGGCAACTATAGGCCAGTAAGCCTTACTTCAGTAGTGGGGAAAGTGATGAAAACCATGTTAAAGGATAGGATTGATGAACATCTAAAAACACATGGATTTCAAGATCAGAGACAACATGGGTTTACTTCAGGGAGATCATGCCAAACTAATCTTATTGATTTTTTTGATTGGGTAACTAAAATATAGATCAGGGTGGTGCAGTAGACATTGCTTACCTAGATTTCAGTAAGGCTTTTGACACTGTTGCACATAGAAGGCTTATCAATAAACTGCAATCTTTAAGTTTGGATTCCAATATTGTTGAAAGGGTAAGGCAGTGGCTGAGTGACAGGCAACAGAGGGTTGTAGTTAATGGAATATATTCGAAGCTTGGACTTGTCATCAGTGGGGTACCTCAAGGATCTGTACTTGGACCCATTCTCTTTAATATTTTTATTAGTGATATTGCAGAAGGTCTTGATGGTAAGGTATGTCTTTTTGCTGATGATACTAAGATATGTAACAGGGTTGATGTTCCAGGAGGATAAGCCAAATGACAAATGATTTAGGTAAACTAGAAAAATGGTCAGAATTGTGGCAACTGACATTTAATGTGGATAAGTGCAAGATAATGCATCTTGGATATAAAAACCCAAGGGCAGAGTACAGAATATTTGATAGAGTACTAACCTCAATAATTGAGGAAAGGGATTTAGGGGTGATTATTTCTGATGACTTAAAGGTAGGCAGACAATGTAATAGAGCAGCAGGAAACGCTAGCAGAATGCTTGGTTGTATAGGGAGAGGTATTAGCAGTAGAAAGAGGGAAGTGCTCATGCCATTGTACAGAACACTGGTGAGACCTCACTTGGAGTATTGTACACAGTACTGGAGACCGTATCTTCAGAAGGATATTGATACCTTAGAGAGAGTTCAGAGAAGAGCTACTAAACTGGTTCATGGATTGCGGGATAAAACTTACCAGGAAAGGTTAAAGGATCTTAACATGTATAGCTTGAAGGAAAGACAAGACAGGGGGGATATGATAGAAAAATTTTAATATATAAAGGGAATCAACACAGTAAAGGAGGAGACTATATTTAAAAAAAGAAAAACTACCACAACAAGAGGACATAGTCTTAAATTAGAGGGACAAAGGTTTAAAAATAATATCAGGAAGTATTACTTTTACTGAGAGGGTAGTGGATGCATGGAATAGCCTTCCAGCTGAAGTGGTAGAGGTTAACACAGTAAAGGAGTTTAAGCATGTGTGGGATAGGCATAAGGCTATCCTAACTATAAGAGAAGACTAGGGACTAATGAAAATATTTAGAAAATTGGGCAGACTAGATGGGCCGAATGGTTCTTATCTGCCGTCACATTCTATGTTTCTATGTTTCTATATATATTTATATTTGAAGGCTTGGCCTGTAGATGTGGGAGGGGCTTGATTCCCCTTTAAAAGGGCTGCCAATCCACTCTCACCTTACCGTTGCTGCTCTGGCGAGTCTGAAACGTTTACTTCCGGTTCAGACCGCCATTTTGGATTCCTTACCTGTATTCCTTGTGGTCTCCTGGTCGGGTGCTTCCCTGCTTCTGCCACCCGTCGCTGGCGTCCGCGCAGCCCGTTCTCAGCTCCAACACCGGGCTTAACCGTAAGTCTGATCCCGCCGTAAAGCAACAGCCGCAACATTGCTACCTTTCACGGTGGGGCTCCGTTCGTTTAAACCTAGCGTTCGGTTTTCTTTCATGTATTTCAAACACTCAAGCCGTTCGGCTAATTCCCGTACACATATCCACCTATGCATCGCATGTTCACTTCGTTTATTTATACGAACGCGACCGTTCGTTCACTTTCTACTGTATTAATCTTTTCGGTATTCGAACGGCATTTACGGGACGCATTCATTCGTATGATTCAGCTGTTCATGCATTTCTTTTCCTTTCCGTAATTACGCCCAAACTCATGACATAGGTACGAATTTAACCTAGTTCGTTATTATACTTCCGCCCCTGCTGGTAACAAATGATACTACAGTCTTCTAAAATTCCATTTAGGGGTTTAAAATATAGTTGATGAAATCTGAATGTTAGAAACTAATATTCCTGACCTTTTTCCACAGGTCCATACCTAGGATTGCATACTTACGAATTCAAAAACTGTAATTTTACTCACCGTAAAATTCCTTTTTCCTTAATATGGTGGCAGTACAATAGGGATGTACTCTTCCCTCGGGACAAGCATCTGAAATAATTAACATAAAAAGTTCCTCCCCTTACCAGGTATAAGAGACCACACCAGCCCTGGGACCTCAGTACGTACCAAGAACACCTCAGTGAATCCATAGAACACCCAAAAAAAAAAAAAATATATATATATACACACACATACACATAAAGGGAGGGATTTATGTACTGCCACCAGCGGCCTGTCTGCCTTGAAGAGGGAAGCAAACGATCTTACTTTTGCTCTTCTAGTCATAGACCTTATGGCAAGAAGACCGAATCTCTTCACCAGATGAGCGAAAATGTCTGGATTGAGAGACCACTCGTTCTGGGACCATTTTAATCTGCTTAAATTGTCCGCTACCACGTTGTCTACCCCTCGAATGTTAATGGCGGAAATGTCGTCTAGATGACTTTGAGCCCAGGACATAATCCGTGAGGAAAGGAAATACAATTTGTTTACTCTTGTACCGCCTTGTTTGTTCAGGTAGGAGACTGTAGTCTGATTGTCCGACTGGATTTTTACACCTTTTCCTACAATGAAATCCTTGAACTGCTGAAGAGCGTAGAGTACTGCCAACAACTCCTTGAAATTTGAAGATTCCTTTGTTTCCTTCTTCGACCAAACACCTTGTCTTAAGTGATACAGGAGGTGAGGTCCCCAACCTGTATTTGAAGCGTCTGTAGAAATCATGATCCAAGAGTTTTGACGAAAAAGACAGGCCTTCTGTAATGAATTTTTCCTCTAGCCACCAAGAGTGATCTGATATACTCATTAATGCATCCAAGTCTTCTTCCTTCTTTGACCATTGGACAAGAATTTCCCACTGCAAGGGCCTTGATTCCGCTCTGGCCCATTTTACATCCGGGATTGTAATTGTCAGATGACCTAAAACCTGCATGGCTTTCCTCACCGAACATTCTGACATCCGAAGAAGTTTTTTTATTAAAACCTTTATCTTTTTTCTCTTTTCTCTTGTCAGATGAACCGACAGTGTCTGACTTGATCAAAAACCCTAGAAACAGGATAGACCTTGTAGGGGTAAGGTGTGATTTTTCTAGGTTGATAGTCCAACCATGTTCTTCCAGGATTTCTAGTGTATAGGTCACATCTGATTTTAGAGCGCCTTATTAACCAGTCGTCCAAGTAAGGTACTACTGTGATTCCTTGCATCCTCAAAAAAGCTGTGACAGGTGTGAGGACCTTTGTAAAAATCCTGGGTGGTGAAGCTAGCCAGAATGGAAGGGCTCTGAATTGAAAATGATGGACATTTTTCCCTTTCCTTACAGCAAAACTCAGGTATTTTCTTGATTTCACATCCATAGAAATATGCAGGTAGGCAACCTTTAGATCTAAAGTTGCCATGAAATCTCCTTTTTGAAGGATATGAGTGACAGACGCAACAGTCTCCATTCTGAAATGTTGGTAAGGAATGAGCTTGTTCAGGTTTTTTTATATCCAAGATTGGACGAAAAGACATGTCCGGTTTTGAGACTAGGAACAACCGGGAGTATACACCCGGATATACTTGGGAAGTTGGAATCCTTTCTACCACACCTTTTTTTAATAGTGAGACCATGGCAGAAAAAAGAGCTTGGTTTTTTAACTTCGAGCAGTATGAGGAGACAAGGAAACTTGGTCTTGGAACATCTAAGAATTTTATTTGGTATCCTTTTTGCACCAGATTCAGAATCCATGGATTTGTAGTGGTCTCCCTCCATCTGTGAATAAAACCTTGCAACCTTCCACCCACTCTGATGGCGTCAGAAACTTTTGTTTCTGTCAGACTTATTGTCTTTTTGTGTGTCAAATCGTGGATCTTTCCTTTGTTGACGAAAAAAAATCTGTGTTTTTCTTGAAAGCCCCTACGGTTTTTGAACTGGAAATTTCTATACCTGGGTTTCCAGGCATATTTCCTGTCTTGAGTCAGGGCTTTCTTGGTTTCCGACATCAGTCGGATTAACTCTTCTAAAAGGAGAACCAAACAACTTTTTCTTCTCCAAAGGCAGTTCACATAATGCAGATTTTGATGCAGTGTCTGCTGTCCAGGCCTTAAGCCACAAGCCGAAAGCTTAATCACCTCCGTGATAATATCCATAAGGTATTCATTAGACAACCTTACATTTTGGAACAAGAGGGAAAGGCCTTTGTCTTGGTTATCACCCAGACCATCTTCCAAAGTGTTAAGCCAAAAATTCTGAGCTCTCACCACTGAAGCACCGGCTAATGCTGCTTAGCCTGGAAACCTGCAGCCTGATAAACCCTTCTGCTGGAAGGGTATTTCAGACCAGAAACTTCACCAATAGGTATGGTAGTTTTTTTAGACAATTGAGCCACTTGTACATCAACTACCGGCAATTCTTCCCATTTATCTTCCTCCTCCATTTTAACAATACTTTTAAAATGTCTGGAGATAAAAGCCCTTTTCTCAGGGTTCTTCCATTCTCTGAATATCAAATCCAGCATTTTTTGTTGGACTGAAAGTGCTTTACCCCTGGATTTGTCTACTGTTTCATCAGAAAGGATAACATTAACCTCTTTAATGAATTTTCTCAATTCATCATGAGGAAAACCAACCTCAGTAACAGAAGAGTCGTGAGAGGATTCTGAATAAGAAATAGAACATTCACCCGAGGATAGTTCTGAACTAGACGGTGTTCTCTTCCTTTTAGACTTCTGTTTAGTAGCTTTTACAGGAGAAGTGTGTGCAGGCTCTTTAACCCCTTAAGGACCAAACTTCTGGAATAAATGGGAATCATGACATGTCACACATGTCATGTGTCCTTAAGGGGTTAAGAGACTCAAAAGACTGGGCCAGACTATCCTGAAACCAAGACAAAAAGGATTTAATCTCTTGTTGCTTGGATTTTTCTAGCGTCAAAGAAGAGCTAATATTACAGACTTTCTTTTAAAACCATCTGGTAAAGGAGTGGAGCATTCACTACTGGCTTTTTTAGAAGCAGGTGCAGGCACTTTGTCTTTATCCATATTATCAGTAGAGACAGGACTAAACATATCTGCAATACATAAGTAAATAAACCATATTTGTAGAAACAATAAAAATAGAGAGTTTTAAAGATCAGAGACCTAAAGAATCTTACCTCTAAAACCTCTGACCCATGTGGGGGGGGCTGGTAACACGGGAGACCTTCACTGCCGAGCAAGACAGTAAGATCTGCACAGCATAAATAGGCAGATCCGTTTGAAATCTGGAGCCATTTCGGGGAGTTAAGACCGCGCATGCGCATAGCGCGGTCGGAACTCCTGTGGAAGGCATAACCACCCGGGCGTGCGTTCCACCGCCGTGCGCATGCGTCTCTGACGGGCAGTGATTTGTTGCCACTAGAGACCGCCTCCCTGCTTCGCCGGTGACTGCACTCGGCATAAAGCAGGCTTACCATACCTGCTCCGTAATTCTGTAGGATGCTTGCTGCCATTCAGCTCTCCACCCGGGAAGCTATCAGACCAGATCCCCCTGGCAGCAACCCATGTGCCTCACCATCTCATTCCAGATGCCTTCCATTCCTGATGGAACAAGAAAGAGAACTGAGGTCCCAGGGCTGGTGTGATCTCTTATACCTAGTAAGGGGAGGAACTTTTTATGTTAATTATTTATTTCAGATGCTTGTCCCGAGGGAAGAGTACATCCCTATTGAACTGCCACCATATGTCAGGAAAAAATTATGATTACTGACATTTGTGTCAAAATTGTGTTTTCTAGGTTGGTTGAAATTTTGATTATTATAAATTATGCCTTTAGACGAGTTATACATGTTAAATTAGTAAGCATGTAAATTACCTCTTCTAGGTACCTGAATTTCAGACGGTAGCTTTTACAAGTACAAGAAAAACGTCATCATCCTCTGTTTAATTACTACCCCCTGCATAATGTCTGGTAGGTTCTTTTTGATTTCAGGCCCATGATCTGGCCAGCTAATATCATATACACAGACGCTTATATATTAATTTACATGTCCATAGGTCGCATCACGATACTATTACAACCACTATTTATCTCGACATTGACAGATCGTCCTGACTCACATATCAGATACTACGCCAGAACCCAGTACTGTTCTAGTTTTAGAGTGGTACTGGTCCTAGGTTATGTAGCCCAACTAGGTCTTAATCCATAGGCTAGTGGTCCCGCGAGGCCAAAACCCTCATCCTCATACTCTGAGGTAAACGTCCCTTGGGCCAAATCATAGCTAGCCTTCTTGCACTGTCGCATAGAGAGGGCCTCACCTGTCACTCCTATTCTATCTTATGCTTTAGTTGCCACCGAGAGGCCAACACCCTGCCAAAACGTTCGGTGGCCTCTTGCTTCCCCCTCGGGCCCACGCATAGATAGTGCCTCTCGGGCCGCTTGGCAATTAGCAGGGACTCATCTGTCACTATCACAAAGTATAATTGTTTCACCGCTTGGTATCTAGCTAGCCTCACCAGTACCCACCCAATTAATTACAGAATGATTGATTAAGCTACTTTATAATTTTCAGTTATGTCACAAACTCCTGATATCCCTGAGGAACTTTCGCTACCCAGCACGCCCGCTAGGCCTGGTACCCCTGTTCCTGGAAGGATGTTAATAGTCTTTTGTCCCTAAGATCATGGACCATCCCACGTCTTACTGCAGAACTAAGAAGACACTGCATCCCTTTCCCAGCTACCGCTAGGAAAGCGGAGTTGTTCAGATTATTAAAACACTACTACCGACAACTCTGATGCAGGGGAAGACCCTAGTGGGACTCAGTTGCCAGCTTTTCACGCTATGATGACTTCACTTATGTCATCCATCGGCACAATAAGCAATAGACTGGATAAATTGGAAGCAGGTGGTGCCAATCAGACCGCTGCAAATCCAACTGTTACCAGTCATCCACTCGCTGATATTATGCCCGGTAATACATTGGAATCGATTTCAGTTATTGAATCAATTAACCCCTCGCACATGGTCCCATCTCACTTTAAAAAGGTGGGCAAGGATGGAGGGCAAGGATGTAAACCTGGTTTTATTGCTCATTGCCTCCCAGGATGTCCTAGAAAACAGGACCTTTGCATACGGGGATCTCTCAGTGGTTATAAGAGCAAAAGACCACAGGCTGAACAAATTGTCTATCCCTGAATTTGTGCTGGGTTTTGGAATTTATAGAGATGTCTACGGCTCAGTTTACCTGGAGAAAAGAGCAGAGTTGGATGCATACATGCACAAGATGGTGGATCTGGGGCACAGATACGGTGGTACCGCTTTTTACGATTACCACCGTTCCTTTTCTGGAAAGGTGGCTGCGGCTCTGGCTCAGATCAATTTAAGCATAAATTGGAGCAAATTGGACACAGAGTTATTCTGCAGGCACTTTGCAGGCCTCAGGCCCCCATCTTGTGCAGTGTGTGCATCTACCACACATATCACCAATTTCTGCCCATATATATATATACACACATACGAGAGAGAGAGAGAGAGAGAGAGAGAGAGAGAGAGAGAGAGAGAGAGAGACTAAAGTCATATTTATGACAAGTTAGATACAAGTCGCTTTTGGTGTGCCGAAACAGACGTATCAAGTAGGCCTGTCTCAACCCTAGCTCTCGTTGTGGTATGTATCTAGAGAATACACTGCGCATTTCCAGCTTCCTAATCTTTTTATGATGTGAGCAGGGACATTTTGTCTAGAAGCAGCTGATGCTGCCCAGATTCGGAATGAATGTCCCGTAAAGGCATTGGGGGAGGGGGTGAGCGGTGGGTAGTCCCAGCCTAGTTAAGAGGGTTCTGATGTATGTTATGAATTTAGCTATAGTTAGTGGTTTGCCCTGCAGTGTAAATAGGGGAATTTGGGACCGGCTATGGGGTGTCTTTTTTGCTGTCGTGGGGAAATCTAGACGTTATATATATCTCTGAGAATGTTCTTCACAGGGTAAGAGGACATGACTTGTTTGGTACTAGGATAGGCACTTAAGATATAGTGTTGTATTCCAGTCAGGTAAAGTTTTATAGTGTTGAGAGAGAGTTTTAAATTGAGGTGGCAAAAAGAGATTAAATTCAGTGAATGTATGTCAGTAATTTGATAATCGGATGTAAACTTATTGTAAATGGCAAACGCGCTATTGTATGCTTTTGAGGTGTTGACTGAGAGGGCAGAGCTAGCCAGAAATCTGCTGTGTGTCATTAGGCAGATTAATCCAGGATTAGATCTTGGAACAAGGGGGTTGGGACTGGAGCTTTGTCAGCCATCGGGTAGGCATCAAAGAATTTCTGAAATTTAGAGCAAGACAGAGCGTCAGCTGCTATGTTTGTGCGTCCGGGTATGTAATGTGAAAGTGTGGCTGCTAGCCAAGTGAGGCGTCTAATGAGTCTCATGATAATGAGGGAAGAGGATCTGCCTTTATTTAGGATGTCACTTGCAGCCTTGTTGTCTGTAAAGCATTTAACTGCCTTACCTTCCCACAGGTTTCCCCCAGGACTTGGTGGCAGCCACTATAGGATACATTTCAAACAAGGCTTAAGTAGTTTGGAATGAGGGCAGATCAATAGTTTCGACTGGCCATGTGTCTCTAAACCAGGAATTGCCAAAAATTGCAGAAAACCCAGTGTGGGCTGCTGCGTCGGTCCAGATTGTGGGAGAATGTTCTGAGATGGGATGG